GCAGCGATTTGTGCAACAAAATAGCGTCCGTAAATCTCACGTTACCACTTCTTGTACCTGTATACCGTTTGTGACGTGCATGCGCACCTGGCGGTAATTAATTACCCCGGGCAACAACGACGGCTGGGAGTCACGACTGGCAACGCTGCGGCTTCCAAGTGTGCCATATAGAAATGCAAGGTCGTTCCGCGTGTCCCGCAACAGCGAGTCTAATCGCACAACCTCTCAAGGCCACTGCATCGGGTGCTCGCTTTAATTTGCGGCAACGGCCAGCCGTGGACGCACTCGTATTTAAGAGACCCGCGTCGTGCCGCGCCTTCTTCAAATCACTTCTGCATGGCGTCTCTCATAATCATATAGTGGTTTTGGGACGTTAGACCACACATATCAATTATTCTTCAAATCACGTGCTCTTCGATTTCTCAGAACATAGTCGAGGCACCTGCGTACAGCTGCGGATAAGGAAATAGTTGCTCCTGTTGTGAACGATGTCGATTGATTGATTGATTGATTGATTGATTGATTGATTGATTGATTGATTGATTGATTGAGAGGTATGTGGGGTTTAACGTCCCAAAACAACCACATGATTATGAGAGACGCCGTAGCGGAGGGCTCCGGAAATTTCGACCACCCGGGGTTCTTTAACGTGCACCCAAATCTGAGCACACTGGCCTACAGAATTTGTGAACGACGTCAAGGCACTGGAGAACTCGGGTCGGTAGATGAGGTAAACGTCAGTTAGTCTTGCATCAGAGCGAGGCACTACAACGTTCGGGCCAGGCTAGCAGTCTCAAACTCACTTCAGCTGGTGGACCGCAGTCACGAAATTCAGTATACCGATAGGGACGGGGAAATGAAGGTTGAAGCCATATAGGCATGCGAACGCGTCTCCCTTGTCATCGAAGAGAGGGAGGGCAAAGTTTGCCACACATTTTGTGGTAAACCTTCGCCGCCAACTTTACCCTGAGGAGAAACTCTGCTGATGAGCGATGCGCCAAAAACACGGTACACGCGAGGGAACACGCACGGATGAACCACGAGCTAACAGTTTATTTGGAAGAAATGGGACCCATTTATACCAATGGCTAGCACTCGTTGCGAATTACGAAACAAGTGGTAGCCGTTGGTATAAATAGGCCACATTTCTCACCAATACACTGTTGTTATTCTGCGCATCGTCTGTCTATCTGTGTTTCTTCTTGAGTCCCATCTTTTGTGCGCATCGCTCCCTATCAAGGTGATTCATGAACAAGCCTGAGTTGAAACCCTCTGTGCACATGATTGGGGTTGAAGCCTTAGTACGAGGTTGTATGGCTGAGTTGAACAAAAAGTCATTTGAAAGTTGTTGTTTTTTTCATATACCATATAATGATCGTTTCTCTGGTGGAGTAACGTAGAAGAAAGAGGTGCACCTTCTCGCGCGAGAGCGGATTTCTTCAACCTTTACTGAAAAGAGATTAACACGAGCTGATGATAGTTTTATATGCTTACGCTGTACACCTAACAATCCTTTCCCCGCTTATTCTCAAACTGCGCCCGGGGGCCGTCCTCTTCTATAAAACCAACATTCATTCATTCATTCATTTATTCATTCATTCATTCATTCATTCATTCATTCTCAAACAGATTGGGCCTCAGCACTCGTGAAACAGGTTGACAGTGATCTCCAGGATGACTGACCCCCGTATTCTAGAACGTCCCTTCACTCAACGCTCCACCTTCACTTGGGAAAGCCGATGGGAGCGCCGTCTCTGGTCACGACAAGTCACTGCATATTAGCGATAATCTGCTGCCATTTTCGAATAGCGCAGCGCCATTTTCAGCCGAGTGGCGGCGCAGTGCTCAACTCTGTCAAGTGAAGGGGGAAAGTCGAGTCGAGGAGCGTTTGTGAATTCGGGGGTGAAATACAGACGCCGATTGTGAAAGACAAAACTTTCGTTGCATGGCTATGTTTCGACATGTGCTAACAGCATGGGGTGACTCGCGAAAACATATATGTCAAAGGCAGTCACGTATGTTCTGGCTGGGTCACTACCGAAATGTCATTGGTCTGCGCACGGCCCGTGAACCTCGTGTTTCGACCTCCGGGCTGGGCGATAAGATAGCGACAGTTAATCTGGCTCAACGATAGGCTTTAAAGAATGCACTGGACAACGATGCCGGGCCACTGACGTCGAACATAGGGATAAGATAGTTCGTCCAGCTCTAGCACATGGTTTTGAGGAATGGTGTTGACAATGGTTCCCAGACACGAGCACTCGGGTCCGAATATGAGACGACCCCACTTTCTCCTGAACCTTTGTTTATATCCAGGAGTAGAGGTGTGAAGGATATGCAGGCGATAATTTCACGTCGAAAAGATCGGATGGTAGTAACAGAGAGGGGAGAGAAAAAAAACAAGACGAAGCTTAGAGAAGTCAACTTGGAATGCACCCGGGTCGTGGTCTCACGCGTAATAATAATAATAATAATAATAATAATAATAATAATAATAATAATAATAATAATAATATTATTATTATTATTATTATTATTATTATTATTATTATTATTATTATTATTATTATTATTATTATTATTATTATTATTATTATTATTATTATTATTATTATTATTATTATTATTATTATTATTATTATACACAGTTGTTTGCGTGCTAAAACGACGATACGATCATGAGGAACGCCGTACGATAGGGCGCCGGCGGTTTTTAGACCATCTGGTGTCTTTATATATATATATATATGACTTTTAACAGACAATAATGCCAAGGAATGTATAGGGGAAGTCATTCGAACCAATGTAATGTAAATAAGAAAGAAAAGTGGGTGAAAAAATAACTTGCCGTGAGCAGGAATCGAACCTACGACCTTTGAATAACGCGTTCCATGTTCTAACCACTGAGGTTTTTTCAACTTTTGTGTATTTCACCTTGGTCGGCGTTTTTGTTACTTTGCACTATGTTTGTCCCCAACCAGGCGGGATTCCGTCGGACTCTTGACTATAGAGAAAATGCGCTGAATTTCTACCGGATGACGTCGCAAAAGTTGTATTTTGTAACAATTGACTTTTTTTGACGATCCCTCACGATAACAATAGCACGGTGCCATTCATGAACCAACAGTGAAATATGAGAAACATCACAAACCTCTGTGTTACAAAGCACCATCGTGGAGTTGCGTGACCAGCGTTTCTTGGTGAAGATTAGTCGACAGACAAAAATGTAAGACTTGCAGAAATGTGCGCAGAATGCAGAAACATCACACACAAACTCCAATTATGAAACTTTGGGGTCCATTTCGATGGAAAATGAAAACGGGCACAAAACATTCGCCTGCTCATCTGCGAGAATGGCAGCTGAACTTCCGTTGTCGTGAAAGCTCATTTGTGGCCCTACTGAAAAGGACCTTTCAAGCACAAAGTCCTTTAGCATACAGTGATTTCCCCATAACTAGCGCACACGTATATTGATGTGGCTAGCGGCCAAACGTAGTCGTGGTAAAGAGTGGCGTAGACGCGAGTACGCAAATACAATGGCTTCGCAACTGTGCGGTGACGTATCTCTAGAGGAAAATTGAGATGAATGTAATGCAGACGTTGGAAAGGTAATACTTTGTTAATTGTGTGCCGCTGAGGCGTGAAAACACGTCAGGCGTTATTTTCGCAGCGACAATGGTGATTACATTGCCAGTGCAACGGTCGGTGGTCTACATTAGAGAGCCGTTTGCCGCACACTGAAGCACACCGCGGAGATACGATTCAGAGTAAAAATAGCAAAATCCAATAGAAGATCTTGAAACTACGCCTGTACGCATGCAGAATATTAGCGTGATTTGCAAAATAGTTGCTCGAAATTCCGTGTGTACCAGTTCGTCCGTGTGGTGCTTCATAAAAGTAGGAGACGTAATGGCGGCTGCTGCGGCCAACAGTATGGTTGTCTCTACTCTATTCGGAACAACGAAAAGCGAACGCTAGGTGCACGTAACTCTTTTACGGCATGATGTGGCGCACTACGGAGAACAGTCGCGGAATGGCGCACGGGGGCTCCTTTCCGCGCGGTTCTCCGATCCGGCCGTGTTAGGCCTGGCAGTTTCGTGATATAATTTTCCTGGTTAGGACGCTCGAGGGCTCTCTGCCCGACACAAAGCTTATAGCTCCGATTCATCATAATCATCATTATCATTGATTGATTGATTGATTGATTGATTGATTCGTTGATTGATTGATTGATTGATTGATTGATTGATTGATTGATTGATTGATTGATTGATTGATTGATTGATTGATTGACTTATATGTGGAGTTTAACGTCCCAAAACCACCATATGATTATGAGAGACGCCGTAGTGGAGGGCTCCGGAAATTTCGACCACCTGGGGTTCTTTAACGTGCACCCAAATCTGAGCACATGGGCCTACAACATTGCCGCTTCCATCGGAAATGCAGCCGCCGCAGCCGGGATTCGATCCCGCGACCTGCGGGTCTGCAGCCGAGTACCTTAGCCACTGGACCACCACGGTGGGGCAATCATCGTTATCATAAACATGATCAACACCTGTGACGTTCTGGTGGGAAAACACGGTTCCTATGTGGGTCGCCTTCCATGATCTCTGACTCCCTAGATGGAAAGTGCTTCGACTTTAATAGACCACGAGTGATTTACCCTGGTTGTAGCATAACCACCCACATAATTTAGGAAAACTCTAAGGAATAATAAAACTAATTGGTAAGGAGTTCAATCAATTTGATGATCTCAACTACATAGTCACTCTAATAAGACACGTCATCACTTAAGACATTCGACCCAATCAGTCGCGGGCTGATATGTTCAGTCACAGCTGTGTTAGTTTAAAGCACTAATCAAGTGTAACTAAGGTATGTTTTGACACAATGTGTATCTTCTCTCGCAGTGTATGTCCATCTCGCATGGAGGAACACACAAGGACAACAAGTCAATACAGGAACAGGCGTAGGTGAACCAGGCAAGACAGCTGCAATTTTTCAATAAATACCAACTCAATTTTATTTTTTCATCCTAAGTGTTCATCGACCAGTGAGCAGCGATGAACAGCCCAATCACTCCAGTTGTTCAACAACGCTCCTTGCTAGCCTGTACATGTCTGCGCCGCGCTCCCAAGGACATTTCGTGCAGCCTGATGCTGCCATCGTCGTGCGTTTTTGCACAGACGAGCATGTGGCGAGTCCTGGCCCAGGGTCGGAACCTGCGTGGGGTTAAAGGAGAACGTCAGCCTGAACCCTCACACTCCCTCAGACAGCATTAATCAAAGATTGACTTTGGGGTCATCGCAATCATTTACATGATACCCCTCATGAGTTTTTCCCCTATCATCTCGCAAAAGGCAGCCATCCTAAACGTACGTTCCTCAAGTTTCATGGTTGATTCTAGTCGTTGCCTTTTGCATGTCCCTGTCTCACCTGCTTTGCCTTCGCGTTAATTTAATTTGCTTTTCTCTGCAGAGGTTTTGAGTTGGTCACTGCTAGCATGTAGTCGTGCGGCTAGAAAGGTCTGCACCATGGCGACGTGCCCTGACCTCAAGATCTCTGGGCAGTCTCTGATCATTTCACTCAGACCTCAGTACTTAATACATTTGCGATGAGCCAGGAGACAACGAAAAATTTGCCGCAAAGACAACTCGCACCTGGTTGTGACTTAACTCGTAACTTTCGCATTACGCTTGCGATTTTCCACAAAATGACCTGCACTGGCTGTCGTTCTCCCGCCCACTTCGCCCGCATATTTCTGCGTACGCGACCCTGGGAATGTTAGCCAGTGTCACTCGTGGCCGTTGCGGCGAATGTAAACATTCCTCCTGCCAGATGGCGCCACGTAGAGAGTGATCTTTTGAGAGCTGTCAATTGTGCGAAAAACCCTCACGTGTAAATCCTTAAATCCTCACCCGAGGACATCAGCCCAGCCAGGTAGGCTATGGAGTGAACACTTCTTTGGTTCTGAACCTACCTAATTCTGTCTTCGTTAACTGGAGACTTTCGTGTGTAAGCAAGCAGGGCTGACCTGCCAAATTGATGCAGCCTGAGATACATGTGTACTCTATAAAATTATTTGGTGTAGTTACGTACACTGGGAAAAATTTTTTATCGCACTTTATGTCGGAAGCATAAAGGTCGACGAAAAATTCGTGACTTTCGCATTGCAACTTACGACATCATGTCGTTCTTTCAATTCATTTAATCAGTCGCATTTGCCATTGAGAGAGTATTAGACGGACATGAAGTAAAGTAGGCAAAACAAAAGACACTCACAGGTGCACTGATGGCTTGAGGTGGCAACACAGGTGCTCACAGTCTGCGCTTAGCCGTGGTAGCCGTAGCCGTGGCCGTAGCCATGACCGTAGCCGTGGCCGTAACCATGGCCGTAACCATGACCGACGGCGACGACGGCAACGGGGGCAGCAGCGACGACATGACCATAGCCGTGGCCGTAGCCGTATCCGCCATATCCGCCATGGCCGTAGCCATATCCGCCATATCCACCGTGGCCGTATCCTCCGTATCCGCGGGCAGTGTAGCTGACGCCGTGGTTAACGTGGGTACCGTAGGAGGAGCTCCTGTAGTGGCCGAGGGCCTTCACAACGGGAGCGGCGACGGCATAGCCATGACCATAGCCGTGGCCGCCATAGCCGTATCCGAGGCCGTAGCCATGGCCAAGACCATAGCCGTATCCGCCATATCCTCCGTATCCGTACTTAGGATAAGCGGTGGCGACGGCGACAAAGCCCAGAAGGGCAGCGACGAACTGGAAAAGAAAGATGAAGGCTTAACATATTGGACTAAATCCCGCTATATTCATCGATGAATGCGGTAAATGAGTTTATCTCGCATCAATACCTCTGGGTAATTCACCAATAAGTACAATGTCCCGCTCTTTTACAGAAACTCGGTCTATTTGGAACAATTGCGACCTAAGATTTACCCTCAACAACACCAAGCTGTCATTATCGTCTAACTGCACAATCTGATTCACTACTACTGCGGCTAGCGCTAGGCAAAGGCGCGATTAACCAGAACTATCCACGTCCCGTTCCCGAGCGAGCTGCTTCGACTCGCTCGTGTCCAGCAGAAACCTCAAAGAGCGCACACTTACAAGAGCGTTCATGATGAAAACTGGGTGGTTTTTGGCTGTCTCGCTACGGAAACTGTGACTTTGTGTGAGCACGACACCCGCTTATATGGTGGACCCCCGAACCATCACGTGTCCAGGACAACAACAAAATTCCACACCGCAAGACAAAAGAGGGGGTGATATAGAGAGTAAGGCGACAATATAATGGGCAAAGGCGTGGTGTTGGCGCGTTGAACCTACATGACAGCTGCCGTATCGGTCAGCAATCACGGCTTTCAGTACCGAAGACAAGCGTTCCTTGTTTAAGCTAGCACCCCCTTCCTCTCCAGTTCCGGCCCCCTCGGGCTCGCGAGCTTCTTGTTCATATTTCGCCTTTTGTTTTCCTTACATTCGCCCGGGATAATTGGTCCACAATACCCCGCTTTTCTATTTTTTTCTGATTCTGATCGTGCGTCTTGCGACTGAGAAAACGATGCATTTTTGGCCCCGCGTGATATTTTGCGTCCCAAGTTTGTATATGTGTGTGCTTGTCCCAAGGGACAAGCGGTGGTCCAGAGAACGTTCCGAGGCACTTTTTTTTTCCTACTGAGAAACACACACACAACGGCGAAAGGAATGCTGCCCGATGAGGGCTCACGGGCATAGGTATATACGTAGGTGGCTGGCAGGCAAAATGTAGAGCCGCGCGCATTGGGGACCTTGGGCGTGCCCCGATCTCCGCAGGCTATGACAGACGGCCGGAGCGGGTACCTTCAGATCTATGGCGCCTTCGTGAGGCCGTTACACTGGGGGCGATCGCGGTAAACAACGGAAGGCGGGTGGTTCGTTTTCTGACGTCCCGTCCTAAAGACTATGGCGGTCAAAGGGGAATAGACGCATTTTGCTTTGTTACGAGTGATTCGCGGTCGAGGATATTGTAGATTCGTCTAGAGTAACTGTATAAGTTCTCTTAGATTATACAGTTACTCTAGATTCGTCAACATCTGCGGCGGCTGCATTTCCGCTGGAGGCGGAAATGCTGTAGGCCCGTGTGCTCCTATTTGTGTACACGTTGAAGAACCGCAGGTGGTCGAAATTTCCGGAGTCTTCCACTACGGCGTCTGTCATAACCATATGGTGGTTTTGGGACGTTAAACCCCACATATCAGTCAAATAGATTCGTCAACATCGTGCCTCGCCTCGCGAGAGATAGGACCGACCATGAAACACGATGAATTATAGGGGTGAGGTGGGACAGCTCACCTTCACCCTGTTACACTTTAAGGGGTGCTGACAAGGAAATTTTTACGTGTTTTTTTTTTTACGTCAAATGGAAATCAAAGTTTTGAAGAGCGTGGAGAGTGTACTGCTAAACGTGTGTGCACTATGCAAGACCAATTACGTGCGTTTTTTAAGCTAGCCTCGGTCGCTCCGGTAACCTGACGCCACGACAGTGAATGAACTTCCGGTCACCTGCTCGTGTAAGGTATACTAAAGTTTTCTCGAACGCTCCGCTGACGCATAAGCGGCCATTCCCGATCTTTTTTTTTTGTCCCTGACGTAACGAAAACTGGCCATACTGGTGTTTGTCATCAATACTGGTGGTGCGTACCTTAATCGATACTGCAGCCTGACATCACGCTGGCGAGATTAAGCAGGTTAGATTAAGAAATTCGCGGGTATAACGCGGCAGCAGAAAGCAAAGGACCGGGTTGATTGGCCCGACATTGGAGAGGTCCTTGTTTTGACGTGGACGTAGTCAGGGTGATGATAGTCATAATGGTATTAAAATTGTTTCAAAACAAAATAACGAAACTCCAAGTTAGCTGGATGCAGCGCACTGAAGATAATTTTGGAAATGCATACAATGCTCGCTATAATGCAGAAACATTAAACTACTTGACATGCCCAAAAGCAGAGCACTCGGTAAGTGTTGCGCCAACACGTCGGAAAGTAAAAAAAAGACACAGTTTCTTATGCATTAGGACGCCAGGAACTACCATTTTTTTTGGGGGGGGGGCGCCAAAATAATTGTTTTGTTAATAATCTTGCCTTTTCTTTCATTGCATCTGCCCCGCCGCGGTGATCTAATGGCTAAGGTACTCGGCTGCTGACCCGAAGGTCGCGGGATCGAGTCCCGGCTGCGGCGGCTGCATTTCCGATGGAGGCGGAAATGTTGTAGACCCGTGTGCTCAGATTTGGGAGCACGTTAAAGAACCCCACGTGTTCTAAATTTCCGGAACCCTCCACTACGCGTCTCTCATAAATCATATATTGTGATTTTGGGACGTTAAACCCCACATATAATATTTCATTGCATCTGGTATGGAACGCGAAAGTACAATAAACAATGTACAAAAGCCAGGCCTGGGGAATGAGGCTTAGTTGAAAACAAACCGCCCCTGACGCATGGGCGGGCAGGACAAGCTTAATGATAGCGCCAAGGTCGTGCGCGTGTCAAGCGTATTTCTCAGAAAAACAAGGTCGATTAGCGGGAACACTGCATTAATGTGCGTTGAACTATGACATGCAGTGACTGGAAAGTTCTGCATAAGTGAACTGATAAGTATTAGCGATGTTTTATCCAAAGAGGTTTAAAAATAGTTTAGACCTCCTTGGTTTTACCTTAAAAATAAGAACGCAGAGCATTTACAAGCCCTCACTTCTTGACCCGAATATTGTCACGTGGCCAAGGACGACGCCGGGTTCATAAAACAAGGTTTATTGGAGCGAGCGTGGCTCCGTAACAAGACAAGAGAAAACAGCGAGACAGCAGCTAAAAGAACGACGTGCCGAGGTGAGCGTCGGCGGGAACAAAAGACAGTCGCGGCGTTTGTCTATACGCAACCATGAAAATCTTTTAATATCTATACAGTCAGGTTGTGACAGGGAAATAACACTATCCCTGCCAAATTAATTTAGATAGCGTTGCCTACAAGAAAAGGAAGTAAACTTGCATTTTGCTTCAAACAAGTGTTAGACAATCAGGCGGGGCCATACGCAGGCCACAAAAAAAGCAAGAACAAACTTTGCGTCATAAATCGTGGCAATATAGCATTCGGAATATTCGTGTATATTCGATATCACGCCAATAGTGGTCGCGTTACCATCGAGTGAATGGGGCATGTCATCTCATTGCACGTATCTGGAGTGTAAGCCCACTGAGATGGTTTATATGGGTTAGGATGCTTGACATCCGATCTCAAAGTCACGTGATGGAATCCCGGATGCGGCGGCAGCGTTTTTGTCAACGCGAAGTGCTGCATGCCCGTGTACTTGGATTTGGGTGCACGTTAAAAGGCTCCATGTGGTCGGTATTTCCGGACCACTTCACTACGGCGTCTTCCTTATTCATATGGTGGTTTTCAGACGTAAAACCCAAATAAATATTAATTAACTCAAGTTTAATCCGTGTCATCTATGGCGTAAATTGCGAAATCGCCAGTCTTTAGTTTTGTCGTGGCTGCTACGTTGTAATTTGACGCTCGTCCCCTACAACAGCCAAACATTTTTAAACTGGCAGCTCCTCTCATTTCGTAATCGGCATGATCTGCAGATCAGAGCGGTGTTGAAATGGGGGGGGGGGATATCAGAAGCAGCCAAATGAAATTAACAGACAAAAAAAAGCAAAGTGTAGCTAACAATATTTGTATTCTCTAACTGTAGTTTAGTAATCATTGCATGAATGGAAATGACTTAAAGTGGATGGGAACAAACAACTCCCCGCCTGTAGAGGTCGAAACTAACAACCTTCGTATACCGCGTCAGTGTACAAGGGTTTCAACTGTGCTTCTTGCATTACGCGTTACAAAGATACGTGTTTCCGTATGGCCCTTCAGGAATGAATTTCGCATTTTGTGAAATATTGCTGGCGGGTAACTGTAATAACAACCCAACCACAATGACGTATACAACATGGCAGCCCCCATATGGCCCAGTCGATCCGCTTCAATCCGAATTCGTGCTTCTCGCTGGCTCTCTGCGCTCTGAGCAAAAAATAAGCGGCATAATCTGTCATCGCTTAATCTCATCTGACGCTAAGGTCAAAGCAGCAGGTATCTTTTTTTCGTGATTATTTAGATCGCTTGTTTTGTTTTGTTGCTGCTAAGACTACCTATGTGGTGCCGAGCCGTAAAAGTGGCCTGATGTGAACTGAACAGTTGACACCGCAACGTTAGCAACGATGATGCATTTACTGTGCGAAACTGACTCTGTGCAAAACAACGTGAATTTCTATATCGTTTCATGTGCTGATGATTTGCTGTTCCACTCAAGAACGGTACGTGATGGTCACTGAAAGTGCGTCAAATGAATCTGTGGAGCGTTGTAGGTGAACAGCAAGTATTTTACCAATGAAGCAAGGTTAGCAGCGCTAAACGTGTTGGTTGCTTACAAATAAAAAAGCGGTGAAAGCGCCAATATCAACGCTATCATAAAAAAGAACCACGTTCCTCACAAACGCCACTAAACGTGCCCCGTACAAGTAGGTGTCTGAATATCAAAGAAGCTGTGAGGTGGCTTTCTCAAAAAATTTTTTGGGAGCAAGTATCGACAATGTAGGCGAGCAACGAGCGGACAACACGACACGAATGAACACGTCTTACGGGGCTTTCTTCGTCTTCCCTTATTGGCCAACAAGCGCTGCAGCTTATACTTCAGAAGTACCTTGCTTCCTGAAGCGGGGTACTTCGGAAATGAACTATAGAGTCCTGTATACTGCACGATGTCAGGGCAAGTTAACGCACAACGAGTAATCGAAATCGTGTAGCCCCCCAGTTCTCCTTCTTTCATCGATTTCTGCCTATTTATAACTTCCCCTCGATGATATGGTGAAAATATTTGGGGTCTAACGCCTCAAAACCACGATAGGATTACGAGGCACGCCGTGCAGTGAAGGCCTTCGGAAATTGAGACCATTCGGTGTTCTTTAACGTGCAATCGCATGGCACAGTGCACGGGCCTCTAGCACTCCATAGCGATTGTGTTGCGACCACCGAGGCCCGGAATCGAACCCGCAACCTTTCGATCAGAGCGCAGACCACTGCACCGCTGTGGCAGACTCTGTACACACAGTAATTCATCACATTAAGAGCGTGCCGATAGTAACAAA